GCCATCAGTTCCGTTTCTTGCGCCCTCGCCCACGCAGCAGCTGCAGCTCGCCTACAGGTGCGGAGCAAACACACAGTGTCCAATGGTATGGTCATTAGTTCACATAGTAGAGTGGACGTTTTACAGAAGTTATTGCCAACAGCCGTTATTGGAGTAAACGTTTTTTAGCGCCTTCATCCATGAGGCAGCTGAAGGTCGCCTGCAGGTGCGCGGCAATAACACCGCGTCCACTGCTATGGTCATTAGTTCACTTAGTGGAGAAAAAGTTGTATAGCTTCCCTCGCCCACGCAGCTGCTGCAGCTCGCCGACAGGTGCGGAGCAACAACACAGCTACGTCCAATGCTATGGTCATTAGTCCATTTAGTAGAGTAAACGTTTTGTAGCAAATATTGCCATCAGTCCCGTTTCTTGGCGTCCTGATCCATGCAGCTGCTGTAGCTCACATACAGGTGCGCGGCAATAAAGCGCGTCCAAAGCTACGGTCATTAGTTCAGTTAGTGGAATGAACGTTTTATATCAGATATTGCTATCAGTCCCGTTAGTAGATGCGCCCTCACTCAGGCAGCAGATGCAGTTCGTCTACAGGTGCGTGGCTATGATAGCGCGTCCAATGCTACAGTGATTTGTGGAATTAGTGGAGTAAACGTTTTGTAGCAGATACTGCCATCAGTCCCGGTTGTTGGCGCCCTCACCCATGCAGCAGCTATAGGTCACATACAATAACAGCGCGTCCAATGCTATGGTCATTAGACAAGGTTGTGGAGTAAACGTTTTGTAGCTGATATAGCCATCAGTCCCGTTTGTGGAGTAAAATGTTTTGGCGTCCTCGCCCACGCAGCAGCGTAGCTCGCCTACAGGTGAGGGGCAATAACAACGCGTCCAATGCTATTGTCATTAATCTAGGTAGTGGAGTAAACGTTTTTTAGCAGATATTGCCTTCATTCACAATAGTGAAGTAAAATATTTTTGGCGTCCTCGCCCATGAGGCAGCTGTAGGTCGCCTACAGGTGCGGGGCAATAACAGTACGTCCAATGCTATGGTCATTAGTCCACTTAGTGGAGCGAAAGTTGTATAGCCCCCTCGCCCACGCAGCAGCTGCAGCTGCAGTTGTGGGTGAAATTTCAGTTCCAGCCTCTCAGAGCAGAATTTAACAGAGAAATAAGTCGTTAACAAAACTTTGAACACTCGTAACCGAGCATCAAGTGAACACTTGATTACATTCTCAGGTTTTGGCGAAAAAAAACAAACGTTTACGTACTCCCGTTCAATGAAGTATCACTTTTATATGCAAACGCAATTTCTAACACGTTCTTTTGTAATCCATTCAATTTAACATGTTATCTACAAGTGACTCAGAATAAATGTTTTAAAATGCTAGGTAGTCGACGATGAACACATTTTGTCAATTAATAAGGTCTTTCTAGTAGTGAAGAAAGTATTTACATTTACTCTTGATTAGTAGCCAACTCATGCATTGATGAAGTGCTGCAATACAATATATATTTGACTGCGTTTCATTATTGTAAACTACTACACAATGCTGTATGATGAGATGACAGTCATTGAGGAGTAGCTGTCAACTTCGTTTATGAAATATATCACCCTATATTCACCCCATTCGCGGCGACGATGGTGTAACGGTTAACGTATTAAACTAATTATACCCAAGTTCGCGGGTACAAACCTGATAGAAGCCGTGGATTTTTAAGGGCGAAAATATCGTTCGTACGCCTTCCCTTGGAGGGGAAGTAAAGCCGGCTGTCCCCATGTGAGTAGATTTACTGCATGTAAACGATTCTCAAGTCGAAATGACGCTTAGCTAAATTCAAATCGCCAGTCGCCCAAGAAATACTTTCTTTCTCCGCTTGTGGGTAAAAGGAGGGTAGCGAATTTTACGTGGCCAGACGGTACGTGGTGATCCAAGTCTCTCTACGTAAAATAAGGCATCAATTCATTTCAATATTCATCGGCAAAATGTGATTCACTTCGACCTCTCATCACGACTAGAAGTTCGATGTATTTATTCTGAGTCAACTTACCTTTCGGCTTACCCCATGCTAAGAGACCTTGCGTTTGAGACGCCCGTCGGTGAGTTGACTGCACGAGGCGTTGCGGTGTGTGGCAGCGACCCGTTCGACACGTCCATCGCGGAGTGCCTGCCGCCCGGCCGCGCCGAGCTGCGCCTCCTGGAGTCAGAGCTGGTGGGCGAGCCTAGCGCCGAGCGCCGACTCTCCGACCCCGAGTTCGACCCCCGCGCCGGCGAGGCGGTCCCGATCCCCGGCCCCGCCCCCGCGCCGGCCCCGCTGCCCCCGCAGCCACTTCACGACCAGGTGAGCTCTCTGCCGCTGGCGTTGGATATTTTGAACCATGTCTCTTTCATTGTTTAGACATTCGCGAATCCTTCATCGACAGAAATGTCTACCCCCGCTACCCGTACTCCTGTGACCCGTTCATCCAGTAAATCATGCAGCCTCGCGACCTGTTTTTTCTCTTCAACTCGTTTGCCCACGCGGTTCATGAGAACTGTTCATCCCTGCGACTTAATCACCTCGCAACCCGATCACCCCATATCGCAGTCATCCCCGCGACTCGTTCACCTCCACAGTCCGTTCACCCCTACAACCCGTTCACCTCTGATATTCGTTCACCCTCGCGACCCGTTAACCCCCGTGACCCGTTCACCCCCGCGATCCGCTCAACACCACGACCCGTTCTCCCCCACGACCCGTTCACACCTATGCCCCGTTTACCCCCACGACCCGTTCACTACCGCGACCCGTTCACTCCCGTGACCCCGTTCACTCTCGTGACCCATTCACTTCCGTGACCCGTTCAGTTTCGTGACGCGTTCACTCCAGTGACCCGTTCACTTCCGTGACCCGTTCACTTCCGTGACCCGTTCACTTCCGTAACACGTTCTCTTCCGTGACCCGTTCACTTCCGTGACCCGTTCACCAGTTCCCCGTTCCGTGACCCGTTCACTCCGTGACCCGTTCACTTTCGTGACCCATTCACTTTCGTGACCCGTTCACTCCCGTGACCCGTTCACTCCCGTGACCCGTTCATCCGTATCTCACCACGGTTTTCGCGCCCCTGACCCGAGCGTTGCGCGCAGGAGCGTCCGGACCTGCTGGACCTGCCCGCGGAGGGCGACGCGGCCGCGCGCCCGCTGACGCCCGCCGCCTCCGCAGAGGCCGTCGCCGACGACGCCGACCCCTTCGACACGTCCATCGCGGAGCAGCTGCTGCCCGGGCGCGCCGAGCTGCGCCTCATCGAGTCCGAGATCCTCGGCCAGTAGGCGCAGCGCCACCTAGGTGAGCCCCTTCTTTAGTTAACTCTTTTATCGCACCTACTGCTGTTTAAAAAGGTTGTAATCTTATCTTGTATTGGAATTGGCTTGGCTAAAACATCTTTGCAACTCTTCAACGCGAAAATGTAAAACATTTTTCTCGAGTTTCTTGTACTATTACACTCTCTGTACAAATGTTCTTCCGAAACGTCTTCAAAGAGAGTAGATTCGTTAATAAAATATTTTTTCGTTAATTTGATTTGTTGAATACATAAAATTTGTTTCATATCACTACGTTTTAACAGATCTTTTCCTCGAATTTCTAGGTTTAAAAGTCGGATAATAAAGCACATATAATAGACATATCCATGAACTGCGAGCTGGCCAAGAGCACAAACTCTTTTACTAATCCGTTCCTCATCAGCAGACCAGCAACCGTGCCTGCCGCCTGTGAATCGTTTCTTAATTCCAACTCCTAAGATTTGTCAGATGTTACGTTCCAGTGAATCATTTCAATAATTTGGCCTTAGAACTTGTCCATAAGATTTGTTCTCTAGAACCAGAATAACTCCTGTCGTCATTCGCATAGAGCTGATTTTTAATGAGAGGACGAGCAACCTTCCATTTCTTAACTCATTTCTAAATCGATACCTCTTAGAATGTTACAATAAATCGAGACAATAAATCAACCTATAGATTCGTTCGCGTGATTCGTTCATGGGATTCGTTCTTCTGTGTCCGAATGCCATTGACTTGCCATTCACAAAGAGCACAAATCCGTTCCTGTGTGGTGGAGAAGCAACAAGCGCCTCTTTCTTCAGTTGCAACTCGTGAGATTCTTCCAATAATTACGTTCATTAATTTGACCTTAGATTCGTTCGTGTGATTCTTTTATAACATTCGTTCCCCATGCGCCCGAAAAACCGTCAATTATCGTTATATGCAGAGTGCAATCATGAACTTTCAACCAGATAAGAGAACTACCCCGTTCTTAATAAAACGAGCCAGCAATTTGGACAGTCTCCCTTAACTCGTTCGAAAATCGCAACTCACGAGATTCTTTCGAGGATTCGTTCATTATAATCGTTCTTTTAATTATTTTTATTTATTCTTTGGACCCGTTCTTTGGATTCGTTTTTTGAATACAATCACTGGATTCGCCTTACGAGTTGTTCTTTGAATTCGTTCTTTGGATTCGTTCTTCCGCTCCCCATTAACCGCTGACTTTCGTCATGTGCAGAGATCACCTATCAACTTCGAGCTAGCCAAGGGCACCAATCCATTTGGGCAGTGGGTCTGCAACCGCGCCTGCCATCTTTAACTCCTTTCTATGTAGTAACTCATGAGATTCTTCCAATGATTCGTTCTTGGGATTCAGTCTTTGGATGTGTTTACTGCATTCGTTCCAAGGAATCGTTCTTTGGATTCGTTCTTCGGTTTTGTTCTTTGGATTCGTTCGTATTCGTTCTACAACAGCAGACTAACTGTAGACCTTCGTCATGCGCAGAAAGCAACCATGGCCTTCGAGCCGGCAAAGAACCTTTACCCGTTACTGGGCAGTGGATCTGTAACCGCGCCTGCCATCTCTAACTCGTCCGGAGATGATTCATTCTTGGGATTCGGTCTTTGGATTCGGTTTCTGGATGTATTCACTGGGTTCGTACTTTCAATGTGCTTCCTGGATTCGTTCTAAGGAATCGTTCTTTGGATTCGTTCTTCGTTTTCGTTCTTTGTATTGGTTCGGATTCGTTCTTCAGTACCAGACTAACCGTTTACCATGGTCATGCGCAGAAAGCAACCATGGACTTCGAGCCGGCTAAGGGCGCCAACCCGTTCCTGGGCAGTGAGCCCGCAACCGCGCTTGCCAACTTGTTCCTTAATAGAAACCCATGAGATTCAGGAACGGGTTGGCTCGGAGATGATTCATTATTGAGATTCGGTCAATCGAATCAAATTTTGAATTGGTCTTTATATTCGGTCTTTGGATTAGGTCTTTGGATGTATTCACTGAATTCGTACTTTGAAAGCGTTAACTGGATTCGTTCCAAGGAATTGTTCTTTGGATTCGTTCGCATTCGTTCTTCATCAAACTAACCGTTGACCTTGGTCATGCGCAGAAAGCAACCATGGCCTTCGAGCCGGCATAGGGCCGTTACCCGTTACTGGGCAGTGGATCTGTAACCGCGCCTGCCATCTCTAACTCGTCCGGAGATGATTCATTCTTGTGATTCGGTCTTTGGATTAGGTCTTTGGATGTATTCACTGGATTCGTACCTTGAATGTGTTTACTGGATTCGTTCCAAGGAATCGTTCTGTGTATTTGTTCTTTGGATTCGTTCTTCGATTTTGTTCTTTGGATTCGTTCGCATTCGTTCTTCATCAAACTAACCGTAGCCCTTGGTCCTGCGCAGAAAGCCACCATGGACTTCGAGCCGGCCAAGGGCGCCAACCCGTTCCTGGGCAGTGGGTCTTTAACCGCGCCTGCTGTCTCTAATTCGTTCGTAGATGATTCGGTCTTTGGATCCGGACTTTGGATTAGGTCTTTGGATGTTTTCACTGGGTTCGTCCTTTGAATGTGCTTACTGGATTCGTTCTTTGGATTCGTTCTTTGGATTCGTTCTTTGGATTCGTTGTTTGGATTCGTTCTTCGATTTTGTTCTTTGGATTCATTCGCATTCGTTCTTCATCAAACTAACCGTAGCCCTTGGTCCTGCGCAGAAAGCTACCATGGACTTCGAGCCGGCCAAGGGTGCCAACCCGTTCCTGGTGGGCGGGCCGTTCGCGCCCGCGCCGGCCGCGGCGCCCGCCGCCCCGCCGCCCACCTCCAACCCGTTCCTGTGCGGCGACGACGACTTCGGCTCCGCCCCCGCCGACGCCGCCGCCGCCGCCCCCGCCGACGCCAACCCGTTCCTAAGCGCGCTGGGCGGCGGAGGCGGCGACCTCAGCACCGGGGCGGCGCTGTTCGGCGGCGGGGCGCCCGCCGCCTCCACCAACCCCTTCGCCTCCTTCGGCCTGGACGACGCGCCCGCCCCCACCACCGGCCTCGACCTCTTCGGTGAGTGGCGGCGGCCGCTGCCTGCAACGACCTCGAGGCCACGACCCTTTAGTATGCTCTCTAATATTAAGGTGTTAAATAAACAGAAGCAGTTATTAGTAAACCCTAAAGTATCGTTTTTGATGAGGTTGTTTCAAATTTTAAGGCCTTACGATGTTACATAAACATAAGTCGTTCCTATATTATTTGTTTCTTTGTACCTAACATTGTAGCACGACGTGTTGAGTATAATTTGCAACTACCTGAAGACTTTAATATTTGAAATCAGCTTATCAGAAAAAAGTTTGTAATTTATGTATAAACTTGCAACGTTTAGTAAATTTGTAAAGCATGTGGCAAATTTCAAAAATATATTTATTTTATATTTTGATAAATTTTCACTGCATTTATTCTAAAAAGTATTGGACAATTTCAAAAAAGACTTCTGAAAAACAACAACATTGGGTCCATATGTTGTGGAACAATGAAGCATGATCTGGTTGTTCCGTCGTTTTGGTAAATATTTGAAAATAATTTAACGTACCAAAATACTACATAGTATCGACCACACAAATTGTACGTTCAGAATAGTTAGTTTTGAGAAAACAAAGCTTGAAAGTTCAAAAAGAAGCAGTTACTTAAGAAACGACAATGTTCGCTTTCTGAAGAAAACATGATTCCTCTTAAATGGACATACAATATTTATAATATAATATGGCTCTAAAAATGATATGAACTCAAAATTGACAATATGTGGTCCTATTCCTGTAGAAACTCAATCAGCTTTTTCTGAACAGTCTAAAGCAGCTGTGTGCCTAGTATACTGCTTCCACTCGAGCGAGTTGTGCGTGATGCGAGAGAGTGTGTGCGCAGGGTCGCTGGGCGACGCGCCCGTCTCGTCGGCGCCCACCGGCGCCTTCGCCAGCCTCTTCGCCTCCGCCGCCGCCGCCCCCGCGCCGGCCCCGGTGCCCGTCGTGGCGCCCGCGCCGGCTCCCGTGCAGGTAACTCTTCCATCAATTGTTCAGGAAACAAACAATCCGGAGATTTAATTTGAAATAACGAACCGTAAGATTCGATTTGCTTCAGTTTCTGTTTTGACAGAAAGAACATAAGTTTCGATTAAATAATAAACTATTCATAATTTAAATAAGTAAAAGTAATGGATTCAACAAAACATAAAATACCGATGATTCCATATATTCAAGGTAACAAATCCGAAGTTTCGATTCGATGGAACGAAACCGAAGATTCGATTCGATGGAACGAATCCAAAGATTCGATTCGATGAACAAATGCAAAGATTCGATCAGACGAATCCAATGGTTCGATTCGATGGAACCAATCTAAAGATTCGATTCAATGGAACGAATCCAAAAATTCCATTTGATGGTGCAAATCCAAAGTTTCGATTCGAAGGAATGAATAAAAAGTGGATTTGAGGATTAAATGAATAAAAATATTTGATTTGAAGGAGCGAAACTTACGATTCAATTCCAATGGAATCCATTTGAGAGAACTAATCCATCTATTCGATTCGAGAGGGGAAAAGTCCAAGGATTTGATTTAAGGGAACCAAACCAAAAGATTTGTTCCGGTGAAATAATATTTCAGGCAGATCCAAAGATTTGTTTCCGAAAATACTTGATTTTTTAAAAAAATTAATTAAATTTAAAAAAATTGAATGATTAACAAGTAAATCGAAAAAAAAGGTTGAATATAAAGATTCGTTCAATAGCGATCAGAAATGGTTCGTTCTCCCGAGAACCGTGTTGGACGACTGCGCAGGACCTGTTCGGCTTCGACGCCATGGGGCCCGCGGAGGCGGCGCCCGCGCCGGCCACCGCCATGCTGGACGGCGCGGTGGACGGCTTCTGCAGCGAGACGGCCA